TTGCAAATTGTTGTTATAGAGGTTGTGAGCGAGGAATTATTGGGGAGGGAAGAGTAGGTGTGGGCTAATGACGGCGCACCATGTGGATGAAGGGGGTTACGGAGCACCAAAGATCAAGAATCGCTATTGTATTAGAACGATAATCAATCATCTAATCCGAACTGTTATCTAAATAATTCTTTTAATACTCATAATTCGTTAACAACATATCTATCGAGACCTTCTCTCCTATCGGGAATCGGTTGTATTTTTGACTTACGTATTGATGTAAATATTTGAACGATTCATTTAAAACTTGAAACTGGTGAGCTTGAGCTAAAAATCTGATAAATTAGATGGGTTAACTCAGATATTTTACGAATCCAGTATTATGTGCAGGCGTTGGTGATGCGGTGTTGCATCCAGTGATGATGTGCTAATATAATCCATTCATTCGAAATATGAATGCGCAAATCTTAAGTTTCAAAGAAGTGATGTTTTGAGCAGATTTTGTTGCTTTTTGGTTTTTGTACATTTCATCGTGAATTCGTTGATCAACACTTTGTTGATCACTTCATTTCTTAATGCACTAAATGTTCTCTAAATCACTTTGTATGGAGAATAATCACACTTCGTTTAAAAATCACTTTTATACATCATTAAAAACTTTTTATTGATAGGATAAGTTGGTATGGATGAAAATATTTCTACCGGAAACAATCAATTTTATATAACAAATACTTAGTTGATCGGCTAAAAAACAGTCAATCGAGTTTTCAATGATGAAAATGATTTCGTCATTAAAGAATTCCTCTGAAAGTGCTTTCAGTCTCGAAGGGGCGATTTTGTCATGAAACTGCATTCATCTATCGGTTTTCATCGGGCAAAATTTCACGCTGGGTAAATTTGAGATTGTTGCGGGGAGGGGGCATTTGATAGTTTTAGAGTGGAATTGAGGAGATTGCTAGATCATTGTTGATTAACTTTTGGGGTATTTTTCACCTACAAATGTACAGTAGTGTTTTCAAACTGTGTTTTTGACTATAATAAAATGATTTCATCAATACCACTGATGAATTCCTGATAGCGAACTTCTTAATGATTGGATCAAATTCCTGGTTTTCTTCGGATTTGTCATCATGATGTAGTTACTGGAGAAGGGGAGGGAGGTCACATTTAGTATATAGATTGTTGGAGGAGAGGATTGCTGGTTGGCCATACGGGAAAAAGGGGTATGGAGCGCGAAGGTGTGATAAAACATTACAAACAAGATGAGATGTTCCTCATCACCTTTCGTTGCTTCCATATTTTGCCATTATTGTTATTTGTTTCTTCCATTTGATTATGCATATTCACGTTTCAAATATCATTATACTATCCGTTGTTCTGTTGTTATTTATTCATTTCCATAAACTTGTACACACATACTTATCGTAACTCATCACTCACATCTCAATGGAAACTTTTGAAAAACTGAAGAAAATTCAATTCTTCCGAGGATTTCTGCCAGTGTGTACGGCTTCAATAAGTCACTGAATTCGGATTCATCAAAATTAAGGCATGATGAAGAATGCCAAGTATGGAAACACAACAGTGAGGAGAAAGTAGCGAATAGGAGGAAATGCGGCACAGATCCATTCGAATATTCCGTGTACACTTCGTATTGACAGTTGCATCAGATTTGATTCGTTCGCATCATTTGATAATAACGTACTGAAATTAAACTGTTTTTTTGAACCAACATTATTGATGCAAACAGTCAATTTCTGTATTATAAAGACTTCATTTTCTGGATTCTAACGACGATTCTAACGATTTGTTCACTTCAAAATTCTTTGAAATACAGATTGAGATCTTTTACAGTGAGATTATCAAAAGAGTGAAATAACACCAACCTCAAGGGAATGGCATCTCCGGGTATTTCCGAGATGCTTGTGCAGCTGGCTTCGCGATCCTCACCGATGGTTTCTGGATTGACGAACGCAGCACCAAGTCTTTGCATTTGTTGAAATTTCGATTCAGATGAATATCCTCCGTCGAACTGTAAAAATGTTGGGACAAACTTCTTATCGCTCGTATGCCAACGCCAATTACTCATTATCCTGCAAAACGAGAATTCATAGTTCTCAGTGCATCAAACTCAATTAAAACCACCGAACAACAGAGATATACCTCTGGTAAAAGTACTCAGGAACGGTCAAAGGTGACAGCGGGATACTGTCATACTTTATGGTGGAGTTCCGTTTGTTTTTCAACAGAAGTATCATTGATCTTCGACAGATCACTTGGGCGGATTATTTGCCGACCATTTTTACTGATAATGAGGTGAATGTTTCATTGTTACTCGATTATTTTCGTGGTCGTTTAACAAGTTCAAGGCATTCTTGTTTCTAGTCAATCAACTGCACAAGAAACTTTTCATTTTTCTCAGCCAAAAGTTTTTGCAGTTAAATATCAGTCATTGACGCAGAACCACTTCCACCAAATGTAAATTGCACGTTTTGTCACAACAATAGCCTCGACAGAATATCAGCAGTGAGCTGCGTCAAAGTGATATGTTCAGGATTATCAGTTGATGGAAATAAGAGAATTGAATGTGAAAATCGTTGCATTCACCTGAACGGTATAAAAGAGCACTTATTGCCTTCGTATTGCTGCTGGCATAACGAGCACATAATATTATTATCGGTCGCGTATTGATCCAATAGAATTCGCGAAGTTTCTTTGAAGAAACGTTCAGATCTGAAACCAACTGTATTACATCATTAATTCTATTTTATACAGCAGTGTCCTCGATATTCTTCCATCAATCTCCCAATTAGACTAAGATCGCAGTGGAATCGTCCTGTCCTCTTTAATGCAGCAATATTTAATAGTCGCTTCGATGATTCGAGGAAAACCACCGCGAAAATTTTGTAAGTTTTTCTCCTGCCTCATCAAAACTGTCCTATTGCGTGCTATTTTCGCCCAACGATGGGTGATATCATCCGTAGCGACCAATCTAGTGTACAGAATTGAAAATGCTTCATCAAGTAATTGATGTTAATCGGACAGGCGAATTTTAGCCATGTTGCCGTCAATGATGAGAGATCAATCACTCTTCCGAGGTTTTCCGATACATACATTATCAAATGGTCTCGATGTGGGTAAAGTAAATTGTCAAAAAATTTGGAATCAACCGACAAAATTCCGAACTTTTCATTTCCTCGAACGAAAAAGCAACCACCAGCAATCATATCTGCCAAAAGCCCATTTGTACCTTCTTGATCGAATAACAAATTCTCATCGTTCTTCAAAAATTTTGATGGATCTGAAAATCGAATGGTTCCACAAATCTGAACAAATATCGTTTTTTGCGCAAAGTTTCAAACTTGTTGAACACTTGAATGAATGCTTTGCTGACAGTTCATTGTGGTTGACGGTGATGGGATTAGAGAAGGACTTTCAAAACGAACCGATAACTTCGAATAGATTCTCTCGCCAGTATGTGTCCGGTTGAGCAATCCAAAAATCACGACGTTTCGCAGCCAGATAAGCACATAAGTTTGCTCGGAACACTTGTATCAACTGATAGCGATAATCGCCAGCAGAGAATCGGTCGTACTTAAATCATTTTAAGAATTATTTTTCAACTTTATTGTGATTAACATCACCACAATTACCCTTTATCGCCTGCATAGAACTATAACAATACTGTGTTTCATGTAATGGAAGACCATTGCAAACAATTTTTTACAGCAAGCAGTTTCATACAGCGCCGATTTCGTTCGCTGTTCCAATTGCACTATCCAATTTAGATCCAGTCAACAAAAGCCAATTACATCAAAATTTCCATTGACGAAGGACAATGAAACATATTGAGCATAGCATATGTTCCGCAATCGCTCTGACAATCGGAACTAAAATTCGCCCGGAGATGGACTGTTTGTGAAAGAGTTGAAGCATGTTTCGTTCACGTTGATTTACTAATATTATTCACCACCAACTGACTTTATACTCACAGGATTCGACTGATTTGAATGACACCAATTAATAGAATGGAGAAGCCATACAAGCGAAAGCTGAAAACCGAATAGAAATTACTCACCAATACAGGTAGATCCCAATGGAGAACATGCAGACTAGGGAAAGAACGCTTGAGTGTCACATAAGTGACATTATCGAATGCGAGTACAATGATTCGTTTATGAACATCTTGATAGTTCACCACATTGCACAACCAGTTGAGGGTAACGTTTAATGCATGCTGAATAAAAGTGTTTTTACGATAAACTGATGATGTAATCAGCCTTATTAATACTTATCATTGGACAACACTATTGCTCGATTCAATCCAAGAATGAATATGTGGATCGAATTGAAGAAACACTACTCATTGTCAAGCAGCTAATCACTTCCAAAATTCGACACGAAAAGATACGCCTAGTATTCCTTGATAAATTTATCAACATTAATCAAACGATGCATGAAGATACCTTGTTGATTATTATTGGTATCGGCTCTAAGTCGATTTTCGATAAGACCTGAATTGATACATCATATTTCAGCAATTTCAACGAATAAGTTCACTGGAGAATTGAAAAAGAATGAACGCTAATGCAGCTTCTCATTTGTCTCTTTCTACATCTAAGGATTAAGGCCACTTTAGCTCAACTAATCAGTATTCTCAATTAATCAAAACCTCAGTACTGGGTATATGTCAATAATGTGCACGACAACAGTAATGATGATACTAATTGCATGTTCTAAAAGGCAATGAACTCATCAACATAACCCTAAAGCTTCTAACTCTTTCTTCGTTCAATCTAGGAAAATAACGAATTCTTAACAGGTTTGAGATTTGAGACCCAAATTCCGACGGGATCAAAAGGTTAGATGGAAGGCAATCATATTCTAAAAGGCAATGAATTTATTACTCAAAAAAAAGAAATTCAAAGACCTCATTCAATTGTGTATTAGTTTCGAATGTTGACAAGTCAACTTCGTGCCGATGCTCGTTGACGGCACTCATCACGTTTCTTCGAATAATCAATTTACGTATAAAGTGAATGGATAACAAGAGCACTATCGGATGATAGAATCTCAATTTGAAACGCATCTGAAACTATCTTGATAGCATTTTGCTTGTCCAACTGATTATTGAGGGTTGAGGAGTTCCTTGCGATAGATGAAATGACGCAATTGGAAT